TTAATAACATTACATATCGAATTTTTTTATGTAAGAAAGTTTTATCTTCATATAAGATTGTACACAGTGAAAAGTTTTGTGTTAAATTTAACGTATTTTACATGTTCTAAATGGTTCACCCAAATTTTTGTGTTAATTTAATACAAGGTGAATATATTCAAAAGCAACACAAATTTATCATGCCAAAAATTAACACAAAATATATGTAGCACTTTCATATTATTTGGAAGCAAATTGTATGTTAAATTGACATATGATGTCAAATATAACTTTTGTTTTGTTATTTTCAAATTTAAAAAATGTTATATTTTATTTCTTTTTATCGCGTTGTTCTTACCATGTCGTTAATAATTTTGCCCGAAATCTTCTTAATTATGTGTCATTTAATTAGTTTAATCAATATCATATTTGAAAAACATGCTTACTACTGATGAGATTCGAACTCGAGATCTTATGTTACCTATCTTATGTACAATAATATTTCTACGCTTCAGCTATGCATTATATTATGTATAGCTTATGTATTTCGTATTGTCTAAGTTGTAAAACGACGATCGTTACCGTGAGAGTAATTAATACAAATTATCGTTAATTATCTGTAAATTTTAACGGAAAAAATATGTCACCAATAATATTAAGTAAAATTAACATCCATAATATATTAATCGACATTGAAATATAAAATATGTTATTAACAGTTATATGTTGAATATCGACTCAACACAAAATATATATATTGAGATAACATAACCACACAATATGTTAAATTAACACACAGGTATGTTAAAAATTTAGCACAAAAATTTTAACAAGAGCTGATTTTAACACAAGTACAAAATATTTTTAATGGATATATTCTTGCTTATATATGAGTTTTGAATTGATACTAATTTGTTTTATAACTTCTAGAAATCGATAAAAAACAAGTTGTCTTATCGAACAATCGGCTGCGTTCTGAACTGTATCGAGAAAAAGTGTTTAAATTGTGTTGGAGCCAAATGTACCTACACATGTTAAATCGTGTTGAAACCAAATGTACCTACACATGTACGTTTAATTTCAGAGCAAATTCTCGCGACTTAATCGAGCCGTCCATACTCGAAACCCCGAGTGCTTTTCTTCTTAATCGTTCAGACAGTTCGATCGTGCGATTCGTTCGAATCTCTCTCTCCCTCTCTCTCTCTCTCTCGAGGTCCGAGGTCTAATTTTGATCGTGTGTTTTGCAGTCGTCGCTCGAGATCGCCGCGTTTCTCCCGCCGCGGGGAGTAATCAGGAGCGGCGGAACTTCGGCAGGCTTCGTAAACTTCGTAAACTTCGCCCAGAGCGTGGCGCATACGGTGAGTTCGAATGCCGTTTCACTTTGCTGCGTGCGCGCAAGTGCCCAGAGGTCTGTTCTTCATAGCTGCGCTTTCGGAACCATCTCGTAAGCTTCTACTCTCTCTCTCTCTCTTTCTCTCTTTCTCACATTAAGTGTCAAATATATGCCTATTTTATCTTAAGATAGTTGTAGCATAAAATGAAGTTTTTAAAAATTCGTTAAAACTTGTACTATATATATATAAATTTAAATATGACCTAATTATTAGAGCAATTTGAAAACGTTTCGTAAGCAAAAGATATTCGCAACTAAAGATAACATTTTTTATACGTATTCCTTGAGGTTAATGTCCTATTATTAACTTCTATTTTTAATTTCTTCTAAACCGCATTTAGGATTTTAATGAAAAACTACTATTATATTAAGGACTAATATAGAAACATTATACAAAAATTTCAGAATTATTGACCATTTTTGTTTTGAAAATATTGCCATAGGAAATTTACAATTTATAGTGTAATACTCGCGATATATGTACATATACACATATTTAAATACTTATATATCACTTTCTAATGTGTGTGCACCTCTATTAGCCCTCTATTATTTCAACTGACGTACGAATAAAGTATTAATAAGAAAATTATAATAGTAAGGAAATAAATAATATATCTCCGTGTTTGTAGTATTGTGCGTACATTTCTCCTAATTTCGCTCAAAATAAACACTTATAACTTAGATAGTTAAATAAAGTTGTAGGAAAGTATTTTCTTCAATAAATAATAAACTTGTAGGGGCTCCTTAATATTGCCAAAATGAAAATCCGACACTCTACGATACAACTATCTTAAATACAGATAATGCGATTTGGCGCGGCTGGTGAAAGAACAGACCTGACATCGCATCGCGACGCATATCACCGCGATGGCGATCTAACGCGCGGTTCGTTATAACGTGAATTTTATTGACATATTCACAAGCGTCGATAAAACGCCTGCGTCACATATAAAGATACTTATATATCGTGTACATTCACACAGAAACACCCATACATTCCATATCGTGTCTGTCGTGTGTGTACGCGCGTATGTGTGTGTGTGTGTGTGTGTCGAGAGATGTACGTGTTCTTTTATAATATATACGTATATATATATATATATATATGCATCGTAGCGTAACACGTTCAACGTGACGCGAAAACAGAAATCAATTAACATTACAACGCCGTTGTATCATCCTTTTCTGTCTTCCTATACCTAAGACGTGCCTTATCTCCAGCATATTGAATCCTTCGGGCTTGTCGAGTCATTCGAGGATGCGTGGTAGGAAGTCGAGCGCGGACAGAATTGTACTTCTATCGTGTAGAGTAGCGAGTTGAGAGACTTTACTATCGGTCCACCGATTACCCGATTTGCAGCGCGATTCTATCTGATATCCCAGGTCTCGGACGTTCGCGTGAAAATGAGACAATAATCCAGCGACCACATTCTACGTCAAATTACGCGCATTGATCTCTCGAACTGTGGAGTTTAAAATTGCTTTGAAACATTACTAATTCCCTCTTCCTCTCTTTCTTTCTCTCTCTCTTTCACCCTTCCTCCCCGTTGTACGTTTTATCCCTTCGCCCGAAACCGTGCGTATCATTTTTCACGCTCCGTCTCTCGATGTTTTAAAATCAGTAATACTGAAATAATACTTCGACTTTTTGGATTCCCAATAATATTCAGCGACACAACATTCCCCACTTCCGCTAAAACAGATTTACACATATATAGGAACAAAGTTTTATATATATATATATATACTTATAGAATATATATTCATATATCGTCAATCATTAATTTCCGAACCAACAGTGAAACGTCCGCGTGTCCAAACGATTAGTATGTATGTATATATATATATATATATATNGCTTAGAAAGTGTGACGATTATGTTTCTAATTCACTAAAGATCGCGACGGTAACTAATGAACGTTTTGTTCGCGTCTAAACGTCTAAATCTCGCCCGCGAGAACGAAAGTTTCGCGTGTGTTTCGGAACGCTAATTAGTAGTAGATTAGAAATCACGTTTCTCTCCCTTCTCGTTTATCGCGTGTTGTCATGCGCGAGAACGTGACGACGACGTGCATCTTTCGCGTTCGCACGGACAGCCGAAAGGGTGGACGGATAGCTGCCGCGATATACGGCGGGATTTTTCATTAAGTTTAAAAACGAGAACGAGTGGACGAGTTTTGCTCTCCGATTATAAAGCGAACCCTGTCTCACCATGTATCATGGATCGCACCAGCTGAAAATACTACTATATAATTCTGTTGCGGTCTACGACCGAGGAGGATCACAAGCTCGCAGGACGACTTGACTATATTCGACGCAGTCAAATCGCGACATCGAATACTTATTTTTTTCTATAATAATAATAATTATTATAAATAACAAATAATTATTAATAATTATATCAATAATAATAATTAATAATAACTATTATTATTATTATGGGAGTGCACAATTTTTTGCTCCTGAGCTTGGTAATAAATTACCACGAGGAAACCTAACAAAAAATATGAAGATCACGAATGTGAGAGCATTGCAGCAATTTTTCTGTACTACACTGCTCGCTCGCAACAAAAAATAATTATGATCGCAAAAATTAAAAGAGGGCACACGTGATCAAATAACTACATTCTACATACAATTTATATTTTATATCATAAAACGATATCGCGCGACTCTATCGATTTGAAAGATGAGCGAAGAACGCAATAATTATATAGAAAAGAAATAGTCTTGAATCAGTGATAGATATTTTCACACATAAGTAAGAATATTATAATATTCTTGGAAGATTTTTAGTCTTGAATTGAATGCAAATAACACTTGCATCAATACAAGTTCAATCAGATCAAGACAGAAAATCTTCTAAGAAGATTATAATATTCTTTATACAATTATAATATTCTTGCTTATATATAAGAATATATCTATCCTTGGTTTAAGACTAATTTTTTTGTGTACACACAACTTTAACTTTAATTAAGAAATAAAATTAAGATAAGATTGTTAATAGACTTGTATACTTCGGATTAATTAGACTAAACACGCAGGAGCACGGATCGTGATCTTCCTCGACGCATGTGTTACTGACGCGTCACGCACGCACGCACTCATTCATGTACGCAGACACACACGCATACTGATCGTTATACGCACGCAATACATGTAGATTCCTATCCATATTATAATGCACACATTTAATTCGCATACGCGTGTAAATCTACCACGGCAAACGAATGCACGTGCACTGCATATGCACATGTTCACAGCGAAACGCACTCATGCATTTTCACGCACGCACATTAACACACACACACACACATACACGCGCGCGCGCGCGTACATATCCATACGTTTACCGAGCATATATACGCATACACGCATAATTTTTGCGCACGGACGCACAGATAGGTATATATATATAGTGTATATATAAAAGTAACTTTGTAACATACAATAAATCTTATTTCTGCGTTTGGCACATCTCACCAACTATTGAATCCGTACAATTACAGCTGGCTAGGTACGCGTACGTATACTTACCGTCGAGTGTACGCGCGCACGCATGTATAAATATGTGTGTGTGTGTTGTGTGTGTACCAATTCGCATGAATCTCTAATATTTGCCGAATACGCGCGATTGGTGCGTGCGTATGCAGCGTCGATTCAGATCGTTTCGCTTCTTCCACATATGTTTTTTTGATTGTGAGCGTAACACAAGAAAGAAAGAGAATAATCGATCTTTGATAATAATCACTCTTTCAATAATGGAAACGAAGCTGTTTTAATTTTATCGTTTATAGTTTCCGAGGATTTAATTAATTTTGAATAGTTCGAGGAATAGCCCCGAGTCGAAATGTTAGTTCTACATTAAGTCTGCAAGTGGAGAAAACGGAAATAATTTTCCATTTGTAGCATAAATACAGCACGATAGAAGATCTTTGAATACTTAATGTAAAATTAAACTAGACTTAATGTAGGACTAAAATTTCGACTAAGGGTGCCTCACATAAATATCGAATCATAAAAGAGATGCAATTATTTAACTGCATAATTATTATTCAATTATCCATGAAAACACAGATCTCGTGAGATCACCGAAGAAACTACGGATGACATGGAGAAACCACGCATCTGAATCGATACGTCATCAGCGCGCCGCGCGAATATCTCGGCGCAATAACGATGGTACACATTTTACGTATATATCTCTATCTACATTTAGACGTACTTTCCGTATAGTCAAAATTTTTAGTGCGTTGTCGACCCTATCTACATCTAGAAAATTATAAGAGGAACGCGCGTGTTAATCTGTGTATTTATTTATATAAGTTTCATTATCAGCGTTAAAACGTTTACGTTAATGTACGCCGTGCCGAACAAAGAGCAGGCTTGGCAGGCGGACGCATCTGCGTGGGAGTCGCACTCTCGCGAGAGCTCGTCGCCTTCCTTCGTCGAATCCTACCCTATGGGATCGCGAAAGTTGCTTTTCGACACTTTAATACCGCGTCAGACGGATCAGGCCTCGTTAAACGACCCGCCGCTTTCGTCGAGGGCTAGTCGCATTGTAGGCGCGACGCACGATTCGTTCAAGATAGCATTCGTGAGAGGCTGAAATCCGCGGAAGTTCGAGAATTATCTAAGGACCACGATCTATCCTACCCTCGCAATCCGAGCGCGCGAAGCTCTCTTTTTCCGAAAAAAGCGAGAAAAAGAGAGATAGATGGATAGATAGAGAAGGAGAGAGAAGGAGTTACGATGTCGTTCGACGAGAGCGCAACTCCGTGGACCCATTCAGAAAATCCGGCGCGCAGTCGGAATTAAATCGTCGTTAGAGGACTTCTTTTTCGCGTTTTATACGTTTTTTTGTTATGTTCTCCCTTTGTTTAAATAATATATATCCACGAACAAGGCACTGCTCGACTCAAGAATTTTCGCCAGATCCTTCGTTCTTCCAGCGCGTCGCCCAGCGGGCGAAAGTGTCTGTCGCGCCATCCGCAGCTTCCGACGGCCGTTTCCGGCCGCCTTGTCTCCTTCTTCGAAAATGTCGAGTATAAAATGGTCGGGGGTGCACTTTAGAATATTTCCGTAGGAGCTCTCTCGCACGTTCCGGCTAACTTGTCGAAAAGATTCGGTCTAGGCTCTAAGCTGGACAGTCATGTTCAGCTGTTTCATACTTCGTTTCTCAAGGAATACCGCTTTTCCGAATCGCGTTCTCTCCGTCCGTCATCGGTCTTCCGGAAAAAATCGCCTAGTCGACGTTGGCATTATACTTTCGAAGGGACGTCGCTCTGCAATAATCAATAGAGTGGCGGTAATGTCTCGACTTCGAGAATACAGCGACGGCCTGATTATTTTATATCGCACAGTAGAACGAAATAATAGCATTTTTTCGACGCACGTATCTCCGTTGTATCAAATTTTGCCTTTCAGCGCTTTGTTCTCCAATATTCCATAAAGTTAAAGGATAGTATCAATATTATAATTTATTTATCCAGAATTTAGCAAATTGCAAGAATTTAGCAAATATGAGTTTTCAGCCTATAAACTGTCATGTTTAAGTTAATATAATAGAGACATTCATGATTTTCTATCAATTTATAATATTCGAATGATGATTTTTGTCTGTCAATAATAGAGCTGTCCGTATGTTCGTCAATAATAAAAAATACATGTGTCACATAAATTTAAGAAATATAGTACAATTAAAAATGTCCAAACTTTCGAGTAAAATAAATTTGATGTATTTAGCTTAATATGTATATTATTAATTTATTAATTTATTATCACGAAATGGTTACTTTTCCACTGATTGAGACATTCACTTTATTGCTGAAAGCTTCATGAAAACAAAACGAGACGAGAGATTTGAGAGCCAGGGAAGTAATTCTTGACAGATGCCACTATTGCGCTCACTTGAGCAAAGTTGAACTAAATCAAGCCGTTCTATTCTGTATTGCGCGCTGTACGCGATTAATTTCGACTGACCGATAACTAAAAGCGATTGAGTTCACCTTGCCGTCATTTCGAGTCGAGCGCCACGTCAAGGAAAGTATCTGTCTAACGCGAGTTCACCAGCGACACTTTTTCTAACTTTATTCGTTCGATCTCAGAAGCAACTCAAGAGAGTGTCGCGCTCGTGCCGGAAGAGGACGGATGCAGGATGCAATTATTATCGCGAATCACTCGGTCGGTTTAACCCTTTCTGTATCTACTCGTCATACATGTTTCGTTTTCAACAATTTTTTCACGAATGTTTGCTGTTAGAATATTTTATCTCTTCTATCGATGTATCTTTTTCTCGATATATATCTCCATTATTTGAAGCCATTTGAAAAGGATACGGAGGCTTTATTTTGTGCTCAAATGAGACGTTGAGAAACGTGCAAATCGAGCAACCACGAGCTCAGCTATTTGTACGTGAACACAGTAGAAGAAAAGCACCAAAACTGACGTATCATTTTGTTCTTGGGTTCTAAAGTCCCGTTGAAAATATAAAATTATAATTTATGTGCATACCTCAGCAACATTTTTCTACCAAAATATATATAGCCTTATGAAAATGATTACATATTTTCTTGCAAATAACTAAAGATTGGCGTTTCTAGAAACTAGGCTCTAAAACCGACATACCGACATAATATTTATAGGAAATTATCAACGAAATAAAATAAAATCACTAAAATTACATTATTTTGTACATTTATTATATTTTCTTGCATGTTATCACTAATTTTACATATTTTTATTATGTGAAAAGAGATTTCCTGATTTTTCTCGACTATCTTAAATAAACGTAGAATAAGGAAAACAAGGTAAATCAGTCAACGGTAATTTCAATTGTATCTTGTGAAATAATATTTTACGACAAAATTCAAATGTGTCCGTTGAAAGACTAATAAATGCAGGTATGTCAGTTTATAGAATAACCCAACCTTAAATTTTCTTGTGACAGAGAATAGAGAGATAGTGGAAAATCAAGAAAGAATATTACCAAATAAATTACTTACGGCTGGCTTATTTTAATTTTCACAAGAAAATAGCTCACCAAAAATGTCAGCAGAACGAAAATTCAAACGACGCTAATAACACAACCGTTTGCAAACAGAAAGTGCCACTTAAGCTGCAACGACTGCATACAACAGACGAAATTCATGTTCAGGATTTCAGTTTTTTTAGTATTTCACAGCCGAGAAACATGGGTATGTTTACCATACCTATGTCGATTTTCCCTCTGCTAAAAAGTTCAACGCGAAGCGCACCAACACCTGCACCCGCTCTCTTCAGGCATGAACGCGGCCCGACACCGTCGCGGAGAGAATCTCGCCCACGGGCAGATCGACGTGCGTTATAAGGGGAAGCACTTGGTCCGTTTCTGAGCAACGACCGACCGGCAGTCGACCTTAGAACCGAGAGTGAAATTCTCCGGCTTGACGGTCTCCTCGACGGAGATCTTGCCGAGTCGCTTCTTAACGCGGAACGGCGTCGACCGCGGCGATATGATCTCGTAGAGATCGCTGGTCCGACTCTGGACGTCCTCTCCCTTGGAGATGTTGATTTTCTGATCGATGGGAATCGCGATGTCCACCTCGGCATAATGATTCTCACTGGGCTTTCTCTTCGGCGGATCTTCCTCCAGCGGCTCGTCCTCCGGCGGCTCTTCCTCCGGCGGCCCTTCCTCCGGCAGCTCTTCCTGCAGCAGCTCTCGCTCCTTCGGTGTGTCCTCCTGTTTCGTCTCCTCGGACGGAGAGTTGAAGACGTCCGAAGAGCAACTCTTGCAATCGCAGATTAGCGCCAGATCGGGGTAGTCGTCGGCTTCGGACGGCAGATTCCTCGTGGATGCCAATGAGATTGCTCTGGTCTCCGGCTTGTGGGGTTTCTCTTCATCGGCATAATCCAACGACAGGCATCTCTTCTCGAACAAAGCCAGTCCGGGTGGCTTGTGCTCGCTGGCTGTTTTGGTCTCGCACGGTTGGCCTCCTTTATGATTCGACGCGACCTTACCCTCCTCTGTAGTCTCCAGCGAGTTGATCATTCTCGACGGACGGCGCACGCTGTTCTCGCGCTCCACCGACAGACAGAACTCTTTGTCCGTCAGTAGGATACGCTTCGGCATCCGCGCTGGTTTCTGATCGAGGTCCAAATCGATCTTCTCCCAGGAAGGGGTCTTCAGCAGACTCTTCACTTTGCGCAGCTCCGTCAGCAGGTCCATGGTCTCCTGCGACGGCTCGTGGAAGATCCGCCTCTTCGGCCGTCTGAGGGACGCGTTCGTGTCCGCCTCTTGATCATTCGGCTGGTCGATTCTCTCTTGTTTCCTCAGGACCGACCTAACCTCTTGATCTCGCTTTACTTCGGCCGCCTCGTTCTTCGAGTCCAGCTCGAGTCCCCCCGGCAAGAGACTCATCTTCAGCCTCTCATGGTAACTCAACGCGCCCTGAGCGGCCCGTGTGCGTCGTTTGAACGCAGCGTAGCTCTCCGTAGGTATCTCCTGCAGCTTGAACTTGTCCTGCAGCTGCTTGAAGGTCTCCCGCGAATATTCTTCAACGCCACGGCGAGTCGCCAACGAGTCCTCCGATGAGATCTCCCGCGTTCTCCCGATGTCGTCGGTTATAATCCGTGCGGCAGTGACGAATGAGAGGGCGTCCTTCGCCAACAGATTGTCCGAAGAGATGCCTCGCCTTTCGAACTGGTTAATCGACCTTCCGGTATTCTCGACGATCAGCTTCCTGCTTTTCGTCGGGGAGAACGATTCTCTCTCGGTGGTGCCGCTCCTTGACTCGCGGTCGGGCGAGACGCTCGAGATCGGCCTCTTGGTGGGCGAGTTCGGCGTACTGTCGCCGGCGTCGCCACGGCAACTCCGAAGGATCCTGCGGCGAATCGGCGTGGTAGATTCCTTCTTCGCCCTGCGAGGCGAGTTGTCGACGGGCGAGTCCAGACACGTGGAGGAGATGATTTCCTCGCTGGTGGTCACTCGGCACTTGAGCAACGCGGCCGGTTGTTCCGGCCGCTTCTCCGTTGGCAAGGAGCTCGGCCCGGAGTCCAGCACGTCGTCCAGAGACGAGCCGCGCAACGGCTCTTTCGTCGTGGACTCCAGATCCTCCGTCTCGAAAGAGTACATCTTCAGCAGGAATTCCTTGCCCGACCGCCTTCTTTCGCACGTCGCCCACGTTTGCCGCGGAGATTGTACCTCCTCGTGCCCAACGTTGTTCGCCATCTCGTCATTCTTGACGTCGCTGCGCTCGATGCGTGGAACGTCGAAGATGAATTTGTCCAAGGTTTTGGACGAGCCGATCTTGTCCAGGAACGGCCTCTCAACGGCCTTGCTGGGTCCGATCTTCTCCAGATAGGGCTTGCCCTTGATCCGTGGTGCCAACTTCGCCAGGAACGGCCGGTCCTCCGTCTTCGAGATCCCGATCTTCCTCAGGAACGGCCTCTTCTTCTCCTTCTCCTTGGAGATCTCAAGGGAGCGGTCGCTCAGCCGATCGTTGCTGTAGTTGGACGAGTTATCGCTGCTCTTGGAGCGGGCCCTCTTATTGCGCGAATACGGCGTGAGAGGTGTCCTGGGCGTCCGCGGGGTGAGAGACGGGCTGGGTTCTACGTTTGGACAGGTCTCATCCAACAGCGCCATCGCATCCCTCAGGTCCATATAAGCCTTCCGAGGCAGCGGGGGCGGCGGCGGCGCCTTCGAGAACTCAGTATCGATGCTGCTGTTCCTCGTCGAGCCGTTCAGCCTCAAGGGGTACGAGCTCCGATCGCCCATCGGCCCCGGCGACGTGTCCGTCGGATATTCCTCCAGGAACCAGGGCGTCACGCCGAGATCCTCTGGCCTCGTGGCAGGACTCTGCGGCGTACCGACGCTCCTGCCGCCAGGAAGGGTTTGTTGCTGCTGCTCCTGCTGGTCCGTCGTCACGCCGCTGCTCGTCCCGTCCGCGCAAACCGACGCATTGTTGGGCATGCGGCTGAGAAGCGGCCGGCGATAACCGGAACAGGTAGCAAAGTGCGGCGGTGCCGGTCTCGCGGTTTCCACAACGACGCGACCCTGGGCGCAAGGCACTACCGGTTCTCCGTCCGCCGGTGCCTCTTCCGGGGTCAACGGCAGCGCCGCCCCGCGGCCGAATTCGATGAACCACAGCTCGTCCCTCAACTCGTTTTCTCACTTCTTCTCGTTCATGTCTTTGTTCAAGTAATGCAGCACGTAGTGCAGGACTAGGTCGTAACAATATTTGTACTCCGTCTGAACAGGAGAAATATTGGAAATGTTATGTCGCGATGCCTCCTCGGTTAACAAAGCGGCATCGAATGATAACGTTTCTAAGACGTCATTTGACGTCATCTTGTTCATTTGAATTGAAATACTTCAGAAGGGAGAAAGAAAGAAAGGCAGTTTTTGGCAATTTCAATGATAACTTCGTTGCGGTTTAATTGCATGCCGAAACGTACCATGTTTTCCACAAGCTGGGGCCTGTGCCGGCGTACGGTCTTGACAGCCTGAAAAATGTCAACCTCGCCGTGTTGAATGACCTGTTCTATGCACGCGTTGGCTGCACAATAGACTCCGCAACGACTTCTGCCATCGGGCGATACAACCGCCACCGGTCCGTAGTCCGTTCGTTGTCTCCATCTCTCCACCATATTCATGAGCTCGACTAAACTGTTGGTGGAGGTGGGCACTTTGTGGCCCATTGGCCAACAGGTCAATTGGAACAGTTGCACGGTCTTCGGCGGCGCCTTTACTCCCGCCATTAGTTCAGTCAACGAGACGATCTTTTTGTTTATCCTGAAGACCTGAAAAGACACGATTCGCGAGTTCAGAAAAAATCCAAGGCAATACTAAGGCACTTTTCTACCAGGGCAATATTCTAGCGGAAATCGAACCTCGCGAGTGCCTAGTCATGAGGTAGTAAATTTGCGTTCAACGTCGTTATTAGCCAGTAATATAATGACTGGATAAATAGCTGGATGAATAAATTGGCTGATGTTAACTGAAAGAAATTGACGAAAATTCATTCTTTTCGTGAAATTTATCACTATCACGAGTCCTGAAATACCCTCTATTTTAGAATAAACAGCACTATCTATTCTGTCATATTTCACACGTAATGGCTAAACGACAGCTAAATCACAAAAAATCGATTCAGTCGATTTTAATGAACAATCAGTCAGTAACGAGCTAGAAAATTTAATCTAGCCTGTACTAGCCGGCTATTAGCTTTCGACTAGAATAAACATTTCTATTCGGATATTTCTCGCGACGCGTACGCGGACTTTTGGCGAATCTCTGCGAAACTTTGTACGCAAAGCCGCTTGACGTCGAGAAACCGAGATTCCTAGGGACTCACCCAGGTTTTTATGTTGGTGTAATGATTGTGGCTGATGTGGTCGATCGTGAACACCGGGCCGTATTTCTTCGAGTGCCTTCCCTCCGGCCAGAAACTGGGGAAATTTGTCGAGCCCTGAGGTGGCACGCACAGCACCACTACCGCGGCGCACTCATAGTCGTAAACCAAGGACCAAAATTCACCGCTCGTGTGTCGAAGAGGCCATTCCGTCACGATATATTCCCTCGGTTTCGTGTATCCCTGCGCAGCATTTCCAAGCGCATGAATATTTCCGGGAAGAACTTGGCAACGATCGGCAAATAGATCGCGGACTATACAACGTATCGATTCCCGCGCGCAAGGGAGTTCGCGCGGTGTTTATCGGTTTTCGAGCCGGAATTATCGTTAATTATTCACGATATCGAATATCGAACCGACCACGCGTGCAGTCGGCTTTGAAAAGGTTACATAATAATAGCCGGTTCGAACGAATAATTTCTGTTTTAATTATCGCGGATGACAGTGGCGGCGCGCTTTATAAAATTTAAAAAGTTAAAAGTTTCGCGTTAATTAGAGAGAGAGAGAGAGAGAGAGAAGGCAGTCGGCTCGCTCGTGTGCCAAAGATAAATGAGTTAAGAATGGGTGATTTATTTTACTGGCTTACGTCGACAAAGACAGCGTTTATGTAATCCGTGAAACTGTTCCCCTGAAAGCTGGTGAGGTACGGCCGAAAGTTGTCCGCTGTAACAAAAGACGGGAAATCGATTTGTGCGCGCGAAAAACGGCTGTTTGTCGCGGCAGCACGACGCGTTCTTTGAATTCGAACTCACGTGGAACCACCAGGACGTCTCTGTTCTTCTCCCTGTTGTCGGCCCGGTGTCCACCGGCGCAATCGCCGATCGTGAAGCGCGGGGTCTGTTTGCAGATCTGCTGGTACTCCCGTTGATACTCGTTCATCTTAGTTATCGAGTTCTTTATGCTCTTCTGCTTCAACCGTTGCGACAGTTCCGCCACGGGGAACCACGACGTGCCGCATACCACGTATTCTTCCAGCGTGTCGTATATGAATTTGTACTGTTCCTGCATGACAAATGAGCGTGTTAAGATTAGAGGTCTCCGACGCTGCGAGTGCGACAATTACGAGCCAACTGCCGAGACGAATAGGGAATTAGCGATGGAAATTGCATTCGATAATAGTCATTTAATTCATGATTCTTGCGAATTAGCGATTTAAAAATTAGTTATTATTGTATGTGTCAAAGTGTATGACAAATGAGAGGTCTGTTGAAGTTAGTACTCCGAAAAGCGATTTTTTTTTTCAAATTCATATGGCACTCGTCTATCCACATTTGTTCATAAAGAATTATTTTTGTCCATCCCGCAAAAAGAGTTATAACCAGATAAAAAAATTGGACACATTTTTTGACATCTGCACTCCTGCGAACGTTTTCATTTAATTTTCAAGCAGGATGCGATTGTTCTCGATTTGTCCATGTTTCTCGATTGAACATTTTCATTTGTCCATCAAGCAAAAACGAATTAGTAACAAACAAACACTATTAAGACGAATAGGTAGAATGGGAGATAACGATGGGAATTGCATTTAATAATAATCTAAGTCATGACTTGCTATTAGCGATTTAAAAATTAGATAATTATTATTGTGTATTTCTGCGACAAATGAGAGAGAGGTCTGTGAAATTAGTATCTCGAAAAGCGATTTTTTTTTTCAAATTCATGCGCCATTCGTTTATTCCACATTTGTCCATAAAAAGTTATTTTTGTCTACTCTGCAAAAGGTTACCGGTGTAACCAGAAAAAATAGGCACATTTTAACATCAGTATTTCTATCAGCGTTTTATTTAATTTTTAAGCGAGATATGATTGTCCTCGATTTGTTTATGTCTACTTACTGAAAATTTTTATTCGTCCATCAAACAGAAACAGGTTATTAATAAACAAACACTATTAACACAAAGGTAGAAATGGAAATTAATAATGGAAATTATACTCGATAATAATTATTTAATTCATGAATCACTATTTAGCGATTCATAAATTAGATAATTATTGTCGAATATGTAATTTCTATCACACACAGTAAAAAACTTTGTTTTAAAAACGATCCACTGATATTCTGTGTTACTTTTATACGGGGAATGTGTTAAAAATTTAACATTATATTTGTGTGAAGGAAATGGGGACACCGCACTGTGGGACACTTCCGAAAACAATTGAAAGTAGCGTGCGCTTTTGCTTTTCGTGTTGGCAATAATTGTGAGATCCTCTCAAATAGGCAAAAAAGTTCCACAGTGTTTTTAACACATTCCCCATGTTAAGATAACATAGAATTTCGGTGGATCGCTTTTCAACACAAAAATTTTACTGTGTAGTTGAGATTTGAAGATTTTCCGGACAGACGTCGAGATTTTGTGCCGTTCAATTGACGATTGTACCAAGTTCTCGATGAGTCCTCGTCTGCTCTGCCTCAGCTTCTTCAAGTAACCGAACACGTCGAATGCGTCCTCTTCTTCGGCCAGCTCCATGTTCGCGTCGATCGCTAAATATACCCCCGATCGTCCGCCTCCGTCGCTTTGTGTCACACAAATAAGCAAGTTATTACCCGACTTGCGCGAGAGCGCCGTTCGCTCCTTACATATCGAACAAAGTCTCCTTACTTGCAGTGGACGACCATAGGCCCGGATTCGTTTGTTATCGTCGATCCTACGACCGCTCGCACACGACGTCTAAATTCCAGCACCGCGTTCCCGAACGGGCACGTGTGCGAGTGCCACTCCGTGTAATGAAATTGCAGCAACGTCCTTTCCTCCGTAACCTCCTGAAAGCATTCACGAAAGTTGCAGCGATTATTCTCAACGACAACGATCGTTTTCCCTTCCTTCCCTCTTTCTATCTTATTTCCGCGCAATTCTATTCTCCTCCGTTTAAAACAAGCGAATGAGCGTTCATTCGTTCTCTAAATTCGCGATCGGCGCGGAAACGCGGAAAATCACCGCTTAACAAATTAACGAAGGCGTCTTTGTGCTCGCTCGCTCGGGGCGAGTTACCTCGCCATGGCAGATTACTTTCCGCGAGGGGGCGAGTAGTTCCTCTCTCTCTCCTAACGTATTGTTATCGCAACAATGCCGCGTTAAGCTCGACAATTGCAGTCGCATCTTGGGCTGGGCCGGAGCGCGAGAGGCGCTCGTACTTTGCTATTCCCGGAATGGAGTTACGGGGCTCTCCCCCTTCTATATTAAATTTCACCCGACCGGTAAATCTCAAGAGTAATTATTCCGTTGCGTTTGCCGTACGATTCGCCGGAGTCGCGCGCCAATACGTGAGCCGTTAATAGTTTTACGCGGAAAAGTGCTGAGCGTGAGAGAAGCGACGGATCTTAACGAGGTGTCACGTGTTAACGTCCCAGTGACGATATCTGTTTCGTCTGGCTACAAGTCACCGTCGTTAGCGACGATATGCCGCGAATAAACGGACGTTTGCGTCCTTGCGATCAGCACGATTTCGGTTCGACAGGGACTGACGGATAATTGAGAAAATTATTATTGTGGCATTACAACTTTCGCGCATTGGTTCTTACTGGCCATTCTCACTTCTATTAAGGTAGTCGGTTCTGCGTAAAATGCGAAAAATATTTAAAAATCCGAAGTCACGATTATTCCTCTAATAATGTACATTCGTGTGTGTCTATCCGTGATGTAAAAAGATTAGACATTGTAACAAATCCAAGGATGCGCAGTCGTTAATCCATTTTGACCAATCAGAAATTCCTCCAAAATGCAAGAAGAGAACTTGGCTCCTTCTATATATGACAGGTGACACAGGTTAATTAAGTTACGTTAGCCATAATGCACATGTGTGGTAATTCTATATGTGTGATAAAAGCACAATTGAGTCATATAGATAAATATTAGTTCATGTTATACATATTATGGATTTTTAGTATTGGCAATGAATATCGGGACGCAGTCTAAATTTCAATGTCATGTCGCAATTCTGGACAAATATTTGATTAGCTAGTCGATTAATTAGCCGCCATTATGCGCAATGTTACACATGTTTTTTTATATCATGCATCTATATTAAGGTTAGTGTTTTCTTCCGAAGGTTTTAACATTCGAATATATCGAAGCTTCAAAACATTGGAATTGTAAGACTTTTAAACTATATAATGTCTGGTATATCCATTCATTTACACAAGTTCATTTACAACCTTTCTCAATATTCCTTGAGTAAAATATATGTAGATATTAGCGTTTGCAAGATTTTACTCTTCGAAGCTTCGGAACTTCGAATATTACGGCCTTTGAAAACGAACTTTCGACGAAGCTCCGCCTTACCAAAATTCGAAAGTTCGAATTTCCTTCGAAGCTTCAAAGCTTCAAAATTATCGAAGATTAATAGCTTTAATCGGTACATATATTCACATATATTCACAACATATACCTAATACGGATAATCCCGGTCAAAAGTATTATATGTCAAAGCGCGAAAAATAATTATTCCTCTATGAGTTTTTAAATATTATGGTAAGTTTGTTTGATATTTTTCTGCAATAATGCCAAAGTTGTATATCATAAATATCATAAATCGTAAATCACATGTTAATCACATTTAATACAGATTTGTCGAGCTTCTTCATGTTGCATTAACCATTACCTTTCTAATAGTATTGTCACGGACCAACTACCTTAAAATTGAATACCTATAAAGCCTTTTCATTTAATTTATTTCAATTGAAAAGAAATATATATTCGAGGATATGATCGGACGTGAACGAAAATCACAAAATTTTCCTCATTTTCTCAACTAACGCTCGTGTGTCTCTCTCTTTTACACGTACGCGTATATAATTGAGATCTTTCGTCGCGGAATAATACTGAATGCAAGTCGGAGGAATAACGACCTCTTCTTGGCACGACGCGGCGAGCAGCTTAAGAAGAATATAAAGTCAAAGATTACAGACACAGTCGGAGAGAAAGAGAGAGACGGTAACGTGGGGAAGCAGTTTTAAAGTCCGCGAGGAGTCTCCAGAGATAACGGAAAAAAAAATGGTTCAACGACAGGAGGGCTAAAGTAATGATGCCGGCGGTGGAATCAGATCCGAAGCGGCTCGGAGGAGCTTTAGGGACTCCCCGCAATTGTCGTTCTTCGTTCTCGTAGATAAAAGTGCAATTTAATTAGCCGTTCCGCGTAATGGCTCCTCGAGCGCGCGAACTACTTATTACAGAACGACTGGTTCATAACGCAGTTCAGCGCTGTCGCTAACGTGTCGTTTCGCATTCGGGCGACGCTCAAAATGACTGATACGAGCCGCCTGTACGGAGTTAATTTCGCCAACTTTTTCACCAAGTTCGCCGGATCATTTTCCGCCTCGCGATCGCTCTCCGTCCCTTCCTAGCAACGCCTCGAGATCTCGCTACTTCGGCACGGCCGGGTACAAGTTTCGAGTTCGCGCGAGTTCGTCGCCAGTTACCTACTGCATTATCGAGTTGTCGTCTCTCTCTCTCTCTCTACCCTACTTGGCGTGAGCGTTTCGCGCTAACAAAAATTTTCCGGCCGAAAAGAAGGTAAATTCCTAAGGACCGCCCGAAATTATCCGGGATGATCTTCGTCGAGACGCGAGCGCGTTCGAGCCGTTGTGATTTATTTATTCAAGCCTGAAGAAATGTATTCCGCCGGTATATTCGGACCGATACCCCTCGCGGCGGATTAGCATTGTGCGCGTTAACGGTGACAGATGCGAAATTCTTTTTTCCCGCGGGCTCGCACGATTGGAGTTGCGAACGTGCCGCTGCGTACCGATCGATCGGCACGAAATAGTGACGCATATTTCCACCTTCCTCGCAAATATTGAATTTATTTGCGTATTTGCTCGGCGCGCGTTACCACGTCGCTACGTGCGTCGAGAGTTATTAATCCGAAAACAGGTTTGTTCGAAATAGAGAGGGGAAAAAAAGAGACAAGAGGCGAAAAAGAGACATACGTTCTACTTTTATCCCGGATATTTCTCATTTGAACTCGGAAATCGCGTAAGGCGTAAAAAGGAATTACGTCGCGTACAACAACGATGCAAAAGGGAGAAGAGAGAGAGAGAGAGAGAGAGAGAAAGAGAGAGGGAGAAAAAAAGAAAAAGAACGAAATAATTCACGCCCCGCCAACGATGAAAACACACTCACGTCGTTCTCGTTCTTCTTGTAGAGCTTTATCGTCCTTATGTGAAAATTGGCGAGCTCCTCCTCTTTTAAAACGGAAACGCCGATCCCGCCGTACTCCTCGTCTTTGTCTTTACTCGCCGGCCAGTACTGCACACACATCACCTGCGCAAGAGTAAGAAAGAGAAGGAGAGAGAGAGAGTAAGTGAGTGAGTGAGCGAGTGAGTGTGAGTCGCAGTTGAAAAGCGGTGGAACGACGTAAATCAAGTATTTATACAGCGGACCTTAAGCTTAAAGCTGACGCTAAGACTCGCGGTCAACGTCATCGCGCGCGCGAGCGGTAAAGACCCGCTTTTCGTACGGTACTGTAACTTTAGCCGACTATATCCCACTTCCCCGTCGTATTTCTCATCTCTTTCGCGCTTTATTTGTTTATTTTTTTCTGCGCTCAAGAAGTCTCCGTCGCGCGAGAAGGCTCTTTTTACCCTGATAAAATCGAAGGTTTTCGTGAGCATAACGATGCAGGAAGCCTGCTCTTGCCAGACCATCCGCCAGAATTCCGTCACCGTGTTCTCCATAGGTCCCTGAGTGACGATGTAAGCGTTCGGCTTCAATATACTCTGAAACGCAATATTGATATCGACCTGTAATTGTACGCCCCGCCGCGCCATTAATATTCGCCTAAGTCTACCATGCGAATGGCATAAGCAGCTTGCGATCGACGCACGAGAGACGCGAATTCAGACCTCAGCGGTCGACGGGGCGCGCAGAATCGCGTTACCGATTCTGGCTTTTCTAGATCATGCAAATTCGCCCCGTCCACAATTGCATTATATCGAATCGGCTCGCGGCACGCGATCTCCCGAGTCGGGATTTTGAAGCTACACTCCTGAGGATACTACATATACAGAAAAAAATTAGTAGAGGAAAAAGTGGTATTATACCCGATATGTAGGTTTCGGGACACTCCATATATGAGAATATAAGTCTTTAATTGATATTAGTTTTTTGCTGTGTAGATGGCCCATAGACTAGTAAAAATTTTTACGATACTGCACTTATTCACTTCTCTCTTAAATCTCTAATTCTATAGGTTTAATTTTAATATTTTGACATTGTCACAGCAAATTGTTGGTTACTATAGGGACAGCGGAAAGATTTGTTAAGAGTATTAATTCCTATTTATTAGATAGATATAGACGGCTCAATATAATTTAGTTATGCCAACTATAAAATTTGTCGCTGCTGCAACGTTTTGCTACAACAGCGAAATTATTCTTTTCGTGTAACAAATCTTTTTGCTGTCTTTATAGTAACTAATAATTTATTGTGCCAACAAGATTTTTTTAAACAATCTATTTCGGCTCTGAAGCAGCGAAAATGGAAATTTAAGATATCATCATGATCAAAATAGGAGTCACATCGTTAGAACCTCTTTTGCTATTTTAGTTTCTGCCATCTTATAGAATTAAAAGTTTCATATAGGACCAAAATTTCGACTTGGGTTAGAAATACGCTTCTTTTACCAAAGGCCTCCTCGTGCGTCTTACTCGCGGGCGCGATACTTGTTTCTCTCGTCGGCCGCTCGATGATGTATACTCACATCTACGTAGGAGGCATTAACGTAATCGGAATCGGGCTCGCCTTCTATCGTATCCAGCACTACTCTATTATAGTCATCTGGAAAAAGCAGAGCAGAGAGGGAAGCGCAGTTTAGTATACGGCCATGATGGAATCTGGCGCGCCTGTACCGCGCACCGGAAATAGATCCTCGTTAACAAAACGGCGGACCGCTTGCAATCGCAACTTTGTCTTGTAACCGTGATTTCTTTCCACCATCGCGAGAAAGTTTAATTAACGAAAACTCGAGAGCCGTCGAACGCGATCCGCATTCAGTTATCGACGCTGGAAATTATCGCCCGACGTTGTGGAATTTTTTCATTTCCTCCCCTTCTTCTCGACAAGCATCTTTAATTAACGATGCCGAAGCGTCGTTGTCGACGACGACGACTATTTCAAAATTGTGCGCACTCGTTTGCGGATAATAACAGGTGGGGTAGGCACTCGTTACACGGCTCTTCACCGTTTCGAATCGGTGGCGTTTTATTTGATCGCGCGTGCCGCAATCAGTACGATTCTCTTCCGGACGGAAGAAACGGGGACGCTTCGCTGTGACGTAATAAGAAGCTCCATCAATCGACCACCTACATGGAATACACCTTTGATTCTGGTTCTTTTCCTTGTTCGCGGGCTTCATAGCGTGTCGACACGAATGCGTCTCCACCTTCGTCGCCGTCTGCAACACAAGAGAGAGAACCATGAGAGATCGAAATCGCTACACGAGGAGTCTGAGATCAGCGTAACGGAGTGCAAAGAAATCCGATGACCCGATTGATTATCACGAATACGAATGATTACGTTTCACGCCGGCTGTGATCATCCATATTGCACATCTGACGACTATAATTAATGCCCGTAACTGAAAGAGTTAATTGCGGACACTACGTCATTAGACTGTTATTGATCATCGATATTCTTAGCGTCGATATTCGCAGCGCTGGATCATCGGATCGCCGGGAACGTGAACCAACCGCGACGAATCGACCGGAGTCCAAATTTTTATGCTATTCGACGCTCTTAAGGATAGCCTGCGCCTACTTAGATGACCTATAAACTAATAAAAACTACTTTCACGACATTTATTAACTTTTTTTCTTGAATTTTTAATTCTACTCACTACGAGAAATTATAGTTATTTTCGGCTTCAACTATACTCTTCTTATAGTTTCAACCACGAAAATAATAGTAGCAATATGCATGTAAGAATAATATCATTCTAGTTGCTAAACAAATAGTTCTTCTTGCTATAATTCTTTTATTATAATGATTATAATTATAAATCCATCCATGATTATAATTATAAATCCATCTATGATTATAATTATAAGTCCATTTTATAGGCCATTAATTTTTAACTTATTTAACTTAATTAAAAGTAAAAATGAATTTATTCCATTCCACCAAAGTGGAGTAAATTCATTTTTACTTTTAATTAAGTTAAATAAATTAAAAATTAATGGCCTATAAAATTAATAAACTATATAATAATTATAAATTAGTAGTTAAGATATAATGCATGTTAAATTAGCAAATATTTTTCTCTCAGTGCAGATTTAACTTTAATGTTATCTTAAACAATCTATTCTGATGATAGAACGATAACGGAAATTTAAGACATAATCAGGGTCAAAGTAGGAATAAATTATATCATTGAAATTGAATCTATTTTGTTATCTTACCTCCCTGTAGAATTAAAAGTTTAACATAGGGCCCAAATTTCGACTTGGGAAAGACCCATGTAGAGTGAAAAAAGAAAAGAGAAGAGAGAAAGAACTTCTACAGGCAGATGAATGCGGCATTATCGAAGTTCTTAAATATGGATTTCCCTTGCACCTTAACGACTTATTTCTGACCAAAGCTGACAGCTAATTATATAGGATAAAACTCCGCTTATAAGTGCTGCCGGGAGGTAAAAACCTTTTACTACCTGATGGAAAGTTTCACAATCATCGTATCGGAGGTAAGTTTCATCGATAAACGCGAGCTTTCCCGCGATTAAATGTATACAAATAAACCTGACAGTTTTTATTCCCTCAGATTTTCCGTGATCGCTCGCGACACGTCTCGTGTCGTTTTAATCGACGGTATCGTGAGCGAAGATTGTATTTTTGGCGCGGTTAGCGGCCACGCGGACGTTCGCGCAGCGTACACGCTACGCGATACATACGTACGTAAAAGCGCACGCGAAAGTTTCCACGTAGTTTGCTTTGGCACTGACGGTCCGTAAGCGTCTGAGGTTCGGCAAATGAGAAAAGTTATGCGACAACTGTGTTCTGAGCACGTGTCGCGTTATTTGGCTCGATTAGGCGGGCTCGTTTCCGTGGGTATTTCGGAAGATGTTATCTGACTGGCGATCGTTCGAACGCCTCTAGAGTCGAAATGTTGGTCCTAACCTTTGATTCTACAATATAGTAGAAGCTGAGATAACAGGCTCAATAGGAAATCAAACAGATACAATTCTAATGATATAATTTTTTCCTTCTTTGACAGTCATGATATGTGAAATTTCCGTTTTCACTATAGTGTTAAAATATAAAATTTGGTTTGAATACTTATATGAATTTAATAATCGAAATATCGAGAGCAATTATAGTTTCAAAGTCATACACTGAGAGAAATCCTATTAACTCTAACCACTTTCGGCCTGAACTGTATCTTGGTTTTAACCCACAAAATAGTCGTAGCAATATTTGTATAGTGTATAGCATAGCAATATTGTAAAGTAACTATTGTGGACATAATAACGCTTTAATAACGCAATTAACGGTTATTTTAAATATAATTTGTCCACTTATATGATTATAGTTACAAATATCAAATTGCTGGATAAATAAGAATAAAAAAGAAACGCCAGAAATGTTAATTTTTATAAAAGTTATGAAAAGATATTGATTCAGGTGTGCTATAGCTGAAGTGACGTTCTTGTTATAAAATATACAGGGCAATATTCATAGTCGGATCCTATATTTAAGAACGACTTGAGTTCATCTTCACATGCTTTGTAGCCAATGAAATAAGCCGTACACCATTTGAAGATAAACTTAAGACTGTCTTAAATATAAAATCTGACTATGAGTACCGGCCATAATGTAGCATTTTAAGGTTGAGAGCAGTCAAAGTAGCGTCAAAATTTCGATTCGCGCCTCGGCAATTTTTGTATGTTGCCCACGCAGGAAAGAGAAAGGCGTTAGGTCATAACAGTTATCATTAGCGACTCGCTGATCGGCCGAAATTTAATTAATTCGCGGACCGCGACTGCCGGCCGAAAGTTTTTCACATTCCGCCAGCGCCGCTCATGAATACGTATGACGCTTTATTCGCCGGTATTTGTCGAACATCGGGTACTTTCATTTCCGATAATACCGGGCGAGTTTAATTTAAAAATCACGCCGGGATGATTTTCGCGTCGCTGCACGGGCCGGATTAAAATTCAACAGCACGACCGTCCGCCGCCGTTCTTCTCTCGCTCCCTTTATTTTCGTCGCCTTTCCCATCTCCCCCCCCCCTTCCCTCTCCATTCCTTTTCATCGTCGTTATCCGTAGACAGTTCGCTAGATTTTTCCTATCGAGTGCCCGATTGCCGGGAAAGAATGGCGTCCCTGTTCAACGAGATGCGAGAGAATTCTCCGACGTGGCGCGGCAGCGCCGAAAACGGCTAACGTGTATAAAAAGGGGACGATCTCCCTCCCTCTCTCTCTCTCTCTCGTAAGTATCCTCCGCGATTACGGGCATTAGAAGGGGCCGGTGCCGCGAGGACATCGGATACCCCTGGATAATCCGCCGGCGTATAAACTGCACTTGAAGCCCGACGCCGTCGTGCATACTGTACGAGCAAGGTTAAGAGCTTTCTCATGTCGATGGTGGATGTGTCCGGAAAAAGCTGCTCGTTTTCTCTCTTTCTCTTTCTTTCTCTCTCTCGTTCTCTCTCCCTCGTCGTGTTTAGGAAGCGCTTATCGCGTATCGTGAGCGGATTTTTCGGCGGACTCCGAGGCAGCCATTTTCTCACGGAGATCCTGCGGAGGACGCAACGCGCTCCTCCGTTGCCTTCCCCGAGACATTTCGGGGGATTAAGAGGCTTGAGGCGCGATAGCTTAACGGAAACAACGTTCAACAACGTCGGGATTCATTAACGAAGTCGCCGTCGAATTTTTTGCGCGGATGCAGAGAGAGAAAGAGAGAGAGAGAGAGAGAGCTTTGGGGCTTCTTGCGCGCTTAAAAGTCCACGTTATCGTAAATACAGTGACGTGAATAAATTAAGCGAACAGCGCGAGAATCGTCGGCGTGAAAAAGCGACGACTACTCGGCGCTTCGGTTTTGCATAAGCGTATTAGACGAGTACGAGAGCGGCACGTCGCACTACGTAGTTCATCGAAATGACATTTCCGCTCGACTCGTACTACACATGTGTACCGTGTCTTGTTTTATGAAAATATGAAAATCATAGAGCACCGGGAGGGACCGTCTAAATCCGACCCATCAGCGCGGCTGGCATTTTTCAAAGAGCTCCACGCGCACGGGGGACAAATGTCTTTTACGCGGAACAAAGGACGTGGATCGATTTCACCCTTCGGCAGAGAGAGACGGGAAAGCACTGGGTGAAATATGTAAATATCGGTCGCGACCTTTTATGTTTCTCTCGGTATACCGGGCATACTGGATAGGAAACGATCCTCCGTTGGACTCCTACGGAGAGGAGAACGAGGATCAGATCGGATGGATGTCGTTTTCTGAGACGCTGCAGTTAAGAATTCAATCGCGTCTTATCACCCGCGCGGAGCTCTTTTATTTCCCTCGCGCTGCATGTCACTTGCATAATAACGGACACAGTGGAACGGAAGTGCTCTGGAAAGATTTCGCGTTCTTTACGGTAATACGTAACACAGGCACGCGCTCAGTTTCGATAGTTTCAATTATGCGCATAAAATCTCTCTCACTTCAATTGTAAACGGATCAAGGGAAAGCGCGAAAAATATATAGATATGGTAAACTGACACACCTGTGTTTCTCAGCTGAAAATATCACGTTCATTGCCAATCACGCGATATCGCGTGATGCGAGTTCTCACCAAACGGCTAATTACGCGTTATCGCGTAGAGTACATAAATCCTATGTATATAATAATAAAAGTATATAAATAATATATTAACTTATTTTGAGCAAAATAAAAACTAAATAAAAAAAAAAAATTTGGCCACCACACGAAATTCCAATTTTCAGCTTGGCAATGAACGTGATATTGAACTCTACCGGACAGAACATGAATTTCCTCTACTGTGCATAGTTGCATCGGAAGTGGTACTTTCTGTTTGCAAGCGCATTCGGTTGTACTATTAATCTTGTTGAGTTTCTCGTTATGCTGAAGTTTTTGTTGAGCCATTTTCTTGCGAAAAATTAAAGTAACAAATCAGCGATAAGTAATTTATTTGTCAATACTATTTTATGATAAAAGTCTTGAATTTTTTTTAACTTATTATTTTTGGAAGAATATTTATTTACCGATGAGCAAATAGTTTTTGGTTTGTGATCTCTTCAATAATATTATCTGAGTGTAAAATTAAAACTTTGGTCGCAGTTAGCTCGAAACTATCGCGGGACGCTCGGATGTGTCAAAATGTAAATGTCGCCTTATCATGAGATAGAAAATCGTCGACATTTTCGGTAATGCTCAGATCGTCAGTTGGACTATCTCGTTGAATCTCTCTCTATCTCGTTGAGCGATGGTGTGTTCGCAAGAATTGCCGGGGCAAAGCATATCTTCGCGCACCGCAGGATTCGCGTCTCGAAACGGCCATCTAATGAGAAACCGATATTATGCTGAGTCGCGATTTCTCGATCTATTCCCGAGAGAGTCGCTTTGTCTCTTGGCTGTCTGCCTATCCACGAGCGCGCCGTAACATCCGCAAGTATGTCTACGTGCACCACGTACGTACATAGAAGTGGCTATATCACGTATTTCCGATGTGTGTATCTATCGACATATAAGCAAATAGACTTATTCCGTCATCCTAGCAAAACAATATTGATCGGTGTATTCCTTCGGCATTTCAGAAGTATTAAAAAATATTTGCGGCGTGCTCGGCCGCTCGGAAAATTGCGGCACTTTTTCAATCTGCAGCCACACCAAGAGATCTCATTTATTGGGTCAAGTATCATAAATAACATATGTCGGACGGAGATAGCAAATATTCATTTTTTCCGAACACTGGCGGAAAGAGCCGATAAGCCGTCTGTCGGCTGGAAACATGAGCCATCATATTAATAACGAGTAAATACGTATATATCAGATTAGGCTCCATTGTGAAATATTCCATTTGAAAATGGATTTCAAAGAAAACAAAAGAAGAAAGAGCGAGAAAGAGAGAGAGAGAGAGAGAGAAAGAGGGAACGCAAGTTATTTATGACTCGACCCAATAAACACAATTGCGCGATTGAGCGCTCTCGCACGCGCGAGCGATTTTCCAATTATAAGGTTTAATGGATTATTACTAATTTTTTATTACTGACGATCGATAACATGTTGAAACAAAGAACGCTCGTAAAAATTGCCGATACGAAAAAAAATGAGCCCGTCGAGCCCACTGAAACGAAAGAGAGAGAGAGAGAGAGAGAGAGAGAGAGAACGAGAGAAAGAGACAAAGAGAAAGAGAGAGGGAGATAGACAGAGTTAGATGAATAGGCGGGAAATGGAATTTACTTGGGTCTCACCTGAAACTCCACCCGGTACAGCACCGGATATTTTCGGCGTAGCTCGCACAACTTTGAGAACTGCGAGAGCTCAGTCGGCGCGGACGGCAAGGTGGTGCTCATGCTGCTCCCCAATTCTTCCGTGGCTGCGAACAGACAAAGAAAAATTACCGGATACTACTGGAAATGTTAACCACTAACGACAACGTTGTTGGCAAATCATTAGTAGAACTGTACACCGCAATTTTCGACTCCCCCCCCCCCCCCCCC